ATGTAACAAAAATTTATATTAACGAGTTGAAATTTCGTGGGATAAATATTAATTAAATAATAAATGATTAAGTAATGGTATCCGCGAATTTCAGGGCGCTGGGTTCCAACATTTCCGCATGACACGAAGACCTTGCGGGTTTAGCCTATACTACAATTATTTGATTTATTGATAAGTCGTTAATCGGATGGTTTTTCTATGATATATGATTAATATTTGAAAATGGTTTTAATATAGTTAAGTGCTTTATCGAACTTCTTTAACCAATATTAACTTCTTTATTTATAGCTATGTTTTTCGGGGGCTCAGCTTGCAGCCCCCTCAGACCTTATTACCATAATAAATACACATAAACAGTTAAAATTATTGACAAAAATAAAAGTTAGCAATCACAAATTTTTTGGGTTCAAATCTTACTCAAAGAAATCAATAAAACCCTGTTGTTAATCTCATAGCAACCCTTATTTAATTTCGCGACGTAAACCTCGATATCGCAGATTGATTTCAGATCCATTAATGTTTCTTTTTAATTATTAACTAGTGCTTAAATTGATACATAAAACATATGCAGATTATTTCACGAATTTTTACTTTTTATAAAACTACCCATGAATTCTACTGAATTTGTAAAAAAAAATGATCTGAGTGAAAAGTTGTCAATGAACAATAAAATAGGCTGAATGAGAAAAGCAGGTTACGAAAAAAAAATTGCGGGGATTATAGTGGTCGAATGGTTAGAGCGTCCGACAGTGGTCGAATTGATACGAAAGAGGTCTTGGGTTCAAATCCCGGCACAGACCATTTAATAAAATTTAAAAAATGAATTTTAAAGTGGTTTAACCCTTCGCGACCCTCAACAGGTAGTTGGACATCCTGTATGACAGTAAAAAAATTGAATTATGTATATGAAAAAATAACCAAACCATACAGGGAAGAAAATGTTGAGAAAACCAGAAAAACATTCGTGAGAAATTTTACTCGATTTTAGGAGAAAAATTAAACCTCTAATTTAAACGCGATTTCACTCAAGTTTCGTGTTTCGACTTAACTCATTTTTCACTGCAAGTTAGAATTATGACCCTTTTATCAAGATAACATCAAATCAGATGAAACTCTCCATAGTAAATAATTTTTAGTATAATACAATATTTAAAGAAGTTAATTTATACGGAGTTAGAATTAAAATTAAATTCTAAAGAGACCATATGTAGAAAATAATCAATTAGCATATAAATGTCTACATCGTTTAATTTATTTCTCTTTGCAATAACAAAGATATTTCCAACAGATATTCGGTTATTCCACATTCTCCCGTTCCCTTAAATAATTAACCGGGTTATTGTTTTATCCCTAATTTACCCTGCTGGGATGAAGGAGGGAATTCTAAACTTCCAAAACCCTGATTCGATTATGTGTATAGTTTGTCATAAGCATATTTGAGGTGGAGGCGGTTCAATTTTCAAACCCACATCCCCCTTTTCCCTACTACAGAACGAACAAATACTTAAATTCAGTGTCTTTAATTAATTGCTAAATCTTTAAAAAAAAGTTTTAGCTATTAATTTTTTTCTCTAAACTTGATACAGTAACAGATATATTTAAAAAGACTTACCGCTTCCTGAAAAACAAATATAAAAAAAGAACATTAGAATCGGTTGTACAAATGGAATAAAAATCACTACCACTTTAATGAAGAAAAAAGAAGGAAGAAAACTCATAAGGCAAAGTTTTTGGATGCAAGGTTTCCATGGAAAACGGATCCACCCGGGCAGGTTGGATTACACTCCTTTAATCTGTACGGTCACTTTACTGGTGCACAGGGTTGGGGGGTACATGCCCAAAACTTACTTTTAGGAAAATCCAAGATGCGAACACCATGCTGTTATTTTTACTTTATATTTTTCCAATGCATAAATAAATAGAAAGAAGTATCGGTAGGTTTGTAGTTGAAAAATAAGTCGTGTCAAGTTGAAAATGTTTGAAGTTGAAACTGTTTAGGTTTTTAATTCATCTGTTCGGATTTCGAATGCATATTGTGTCTGTAATGGTTAAAGATTCGGCGAATAAAGAAACTGAACAGGACCGAAGTATTCGAGTACGAAGTCTGATAGATAAGTTAAAGTTGGGCAAAACTTTTCTGATTTTCATGAAGGAATTTCTAGATTGTTAAACTTTACAGCGGATTTCAAATTAAGGAGTTGTCTTCGACATAGAATTTCATGTATTTGTAATGTTTCTGACAATTATATCACTGCCGATCTTTACAAGTGCGAACCTTTTTGTTATTTATTGATAACCATCCCGTTTTGTCTTCTTCACGTTTAATCGTAGTTCTATGGTGATAGAATTCAAAAAATCCTTGCAAATCGACAGATCTGATGTAATATACATGACAGTGTAGTCTCGTGTTATTAAATTCTGATATCTGACCGTCAGATATCATCAGATAATTTCAATAAGTATCCCCAATCACCCTGATAATCCCGCTATTCAATAGAAAAAAATATTAGTAAATTTATTTAATTTTTTAGCTCATGGAGACATTAATTGACTAATATTTAAAGACTAAACAATTTAAAATATCACCTTTCTTTTTATATACTTCGCTTGTGTACACAGTTTTGCAGTTGTATGCTTCAGTTGATTTAATGCAAAATAAAAATTTACTCTTTTTTTGTTTGCAATTCAACTGCAGTGGGCGCAGTATTTGTGACATTATTTTCCGAGGTGTTTTCCGACAGTGATTGCAGCCGGGTCGCCAACAAAAGGGATGTTTGATAACCAGGGACGTCAGTCGGCGGACAAAGCGCAGATTTTTGACCGAGATTGTTATTTATTGCTCGGCTACTTTATTGGGAAAGTATACAGGCACTGGATCATTCACCGCTTTTGACCCATTAACATAAAAACCCGATTCGAAAGAGCAAAGAAGACTTATTGCTGACTATTGCTGAAAATTTGAAGTTCGCATCCCTAAGCGATTAATAACATTTTTTTATAACTGCATTCTTTGACGCAACAAGTAAAACATTGTATTTACATATAAAAAATAATAACAACAGCATGAAAGCTTAAACTCAATCCAGTGATGGTAGTCGTTAGAACATCAACACGATGAGCGAGATGGACTCCGTCCTAGGAGACTGGTGTCAAGTGTTGAGGTTGTCGCGGGGCCACCGACGCTTCAGTCTTCTGTTGTTAGGTAATGTGGTGGATGATAGGTTTTTGACGAAAGTGTTCTGATGATGGGGTAGTGTGGAATGAAACGTTTTGTAAAGGGATTGGGCCAGCTCGGTAACAAGAGGGACATTTAGTTCGGTATGGAAGGTGTGATTTCATAAATAGAAAGAAGCGTTGACTATTGTTCTGAAGATTTTGGATTGAAGGGATTGGATTCGATTGAAGTTGGAACGCTTAGCAGCCCCGTAAAGTTCAATTCCGTATGCCCAAATGGGCCCGGAGGGCAATGTTTTCTTTTGTTTGTAGCAAGAGTTTTGATCGTCTATCGAGTGACTACTAGTCGTTTAAGCATGAAAAATCGTGTGTTACAGTCTGTGCGCTTAAGTCGTGTATAGGGGTTTCACATCAGTTTATCCAGGTAGCGTCCGACTTATCGCAATTGGGATGGGAAAGTTGTTGAGGTATACTGGTGGGGGCGTTTTCTTGTTTAGGGTAAATATTATGTCTGTTGATTTGGTGTCGTTGATCTTGATTCTCCACTGTCGGAGCCAGCATTCTAGGATGTGTAGGTGATTGTGGAGATTACGGGAAGCAGTGACTAGAGTTTTATCACGAGATAGGATTGCGATTTCATCGGTAAAGATGAAGGTGTTAGGTTGTGTAAATAGGTCGAAGGTATAAATTGATTAAAGGAAAGAAGCGAGCACGCTGCCCTGTGGGACACCTAGTAGAATAGGATGGATAGGATACAATGGATTTTTGTAGGATATTTGGAAGTAACGAAGTTACGATCGTTAAGATAGGATTTTAGGATAATGTAATAGGTTGCTGGTAGGACGTTCTTGAGCTTCCACAGCAGTCCAGAATCCACGGTCAAAGGGAATATATCCAAGAACACACCCTGGCAATACTGTTTAGGCTCAAGGGAGGTGGAAATAACGTCGATTATGCGATGTGCTTGTTGTACAGTTAGTGGCAACTCCAAAAGCCGAATCGGGGAACTGTGTTTGAAAGAATTTCCTTGGACAAGCGGATCAATGAAGCTTTTCCAGTATTTTGGCAATAATGGGCAAAAGACTGATGGGTCGGTAGGATCTAGGAAGGTGATTTGGTTTCTTAGGTTTTGGGAAAATCCTGGTACCGAGTTATTTGCGAGTTTAACAGGGCATCCCGATGCAGGAACATGGAGTATAGTATTGTGTGAGGTCCGGATAGGAGGAGGCATCCGAGGAACTCGTGACGGGATGGTCCTTCTACTTTCTATCATTTGGCCAAATTGTACAGGGTCTTAGGCAAAACACGAAGAGTAAAAAGGATTAAAGTAAGTCGGAACCTTTCCATGGAGATCGTTGGGTTAAATGGCACACAATGACATGAGAATGTCGAGGAGAGTAATTCCTAACGGAAGGAAATCTGTACCTTGTACCCTGCACGATGAAGGATCAATACATGGCCAAACAGAGGCTTTGAAGAAGCACGAGGAGTGATACTCCCGAATGAAGGAAGTAAGAACTTTTCGCAGGGAGGATGAACGTCGTTTGGTTAAAAGTGGGAAGGTCCTCAGGAGAAAGTTGACTAGAGGAACCGTCAGCCGTCATCTAAGTAAATTTCAAAGCTATCGTATCTTTTGTTGCCTCACTGAAAAACTCTGCAGCTTGTTTATTGTAAATAAACTTATTTAAATTTATCGTCTGTCCGGTCATAAAGAAAAAAAAAGAGAAAAGAAATAGGAAATATGATAACGGGTTAACAACAAGGTAGGGTCTGAAAGTCTTAGCAATCGGCACAACACGGTTTGTACTATTGGTTTTTTTTCGTACCAATCATCGAGGCGATCAGGGCGACTGGGCTCTTGATCGTTTGTACTTCATCTTGTGAAGGGTCTGATTGTGTGCTTGAAGTCCTTCTTAAGATAGTCGAGGCGTAGGCACCTGGGACGACGCCGACCAAGCAGTACGGGTCACTGTACCCTAACCAACCCCAGCCAACCTCTCACACCTCGCAACCACACACGGCCGCTAATAACACACCTCGTTCCGCCTCTCGATTTTAAATTATAAATTAAAAATTTACTTCTTAACAAAACCATTGAATGTTACCAAGGAAACAAAGAAATTCTCAGTGTTAGATAAATTCCTTTTATAATTAGGCTAGTAAAAGTTCCTAATTAATGTAAAACAGGGTATTTTTCCTATTAATAAAATCATCTTTTTCATTTTCAAATAGTTATTTAATCGCAAGTTGCTTTGAACGCACTGACCAGTGGGTAAAGATTAATCGAGCACTCGAGAAGGATCGCGTTAAACCACCTGCCTTGGCCAGAAGTTATTTATCATCAACACAACGCGTTTTGTCTCAGTAATCCGTCTTTGTTTCCATCCCTTTTCCCGGGGGAGAAACCTTCAAGAAACAAATGGCCCATGGTAAAATTTGTCTCCTCGGCGGTATTTTGAGAAAGGACGGCTAAATTGGTCAATTTTGACTTAAAAGAAAGTATAAGAGTATAAAAACAAATATTAGACATTGATTATTTTTATATCTCAAGTGTAGAAAAGCTTTTAAATACAATGCAATTTTAAGCGTACGTAAATATATCAGTAAATTTAGAGAAAAAAAAACAATTGATCAGAAAAGAAAGTTGATTTTTTCCTTTTCGCTTATTTAAAAAAAAATCTTCTAAATTCCCTGTTTAAACAATTACCTATCTTCTTTTTATTCTTCTCATTTTTGAAATATTCGTTACTAAACCTAGTCGTACTGAAAGGCTCAAAAATTAAAATGAATTGAAAATTTAATTTTTCCCCCACTAGAATTTAAAGAGCAGTATGAAAATATTAATTACCACGAATATGATACAATAATTGAAATCATATTAAGTGTTACAACTTTACCAAAACCAGAGCTGCTTTGAAAACCGAGCGAAAATCTCTCGCTTTTAGAGCTAATTTGAAAATTAAATTTCTTACAATATTAATGGGATTAGAAAGAAAAAGTTAATAGTTTATAACCGACTTTTCACCTCAAAGAAGCTGACTCGTCATAGCAAAATGAATTTCTATCCCTATTTCCTTCCCCACTTCTTCAAAATCAAAAATATATAAATAAAAAAAATATATCTCACTAACACTCCTAACAGGACACACAACCGTGACACATCTACACAGAAAACATGCACTTTGATTAAGTACAAATACTTTGATTAAACCTAAAATTTCTACTTTGTGTACATCATTGTATAAATTTGTTTTCACGTCTTACATGTATTTGTATAATGTAAATAATGTTTGTAAATCCCAGGTTCTGAGGATGATTTCAATAAAGATCGAAACGTTGGAACAATAGAGAAAATAGTTTTCTAAATCTACATCCAAATTTTTTTTTTTTAAAACCAGGGTTCGCAACAGCAGAGTTTATATCAATCCTCGGGTTGCCGGTGTTTTTGAAAAAAAAAGCCCATTTGTAAGTATGTTACCTTACAGTGATGAGCGCCGTGACAACGCCTAAACCGTTGCGGCTACGGCCAAATTTGATCTATGGGTTATATAGGACCATATGTGTCTCTCAATTTTAGATATCCAATGAGTTTATATTTTTAATGTTGTGCTTTAGTACTTTCGTTTTGTTGTTAGGGAATGCACACAGAATCGTGAGCAGTGTCAGTTGGTCGCTTCTAAAATGTACTTCACTGTCATAGACGCGCAGGGTAGGAGTACACCTTCTGGGTGTCAGGCGGGTTAGGCCTATCCTTAATCTTGTGACATTAATTTTCTTTTAGTTTTGTTTTTCGGGAGCCAAGGTTTCACTGATCTTAGCTTTTAGACCGTTGTACCTCCTTTTTTCGACTCCTTATCGGTTTCTTGATTTCCGTTTAGACCGAAGCGTCGCGGAATCCATCAAATACCTCGAATTTCGGCTAATGAACGCTGGTATTTTAAGGGCTCATTGGAATAATCAGTGAGTATAAATATTTGGGCTTAATTCTCACTCCTAAACTTTCATTCACTGCTCATATCAAACGAAACACTCACATTGCAAAATATGCGATGAATTCAATTTGGGCTAAATTCATTTCGAATAATCTTGCTCCGGTTTGCAGTAAATACAAGCTGTTTTGGGCTGTTTGGCGCTCGATTGTGTCCTAGACTTGGGGTTTCCAGCGATACGAAACAATTGAATCCCTACATCGCTATTTTATTCGTAAAATTTATCACATTCATCTCTAAATGCATGATCAACCTTGAGACCTCAGTTGAATTATTGTTCCGAATTTCATTAAAATTACATACTTCCTATATCTGCATGGTGCTACACATTCACAACTACGGCCTTCCCAAGAATACTGCGCTAGAAATCTAGATCCAAAATATCATGATTCTCGTCGTGGAATACCTTTCAGCTCAATGACAATTTTTCCCTGGACATTTATAAAGAGTGGCCATTTTTACACTCAAAATTGATCAACAATATCCGCACCTATCACACAGTGAAACGTCTTCTTCATGCTCAACATTCCTCTAGGTTTTTGCTGTGCAAGGAGCTTAAACAGCCTTTCTTGAACAAAGCGCAAAGTTCTAAAGTTCCATCAATTCAGCTAGCTCGCTGGTTTTTCAAAGTTGTATCTGAGCATCTAAATAACCTTGAGTGCTTAAATTTAGGAAAGGTTTACGATGTAAACCTAAAACTACAGGAAAGGACTATTTTTTTATTTCAATTATTAAATGTTTATTATGTATTTAAGAGACACCCTGGTTATTTGTATGTGTATAAGTGTATGTAAATATACATACATATGTTTTTATTTTATTTTACTTATATAGTTTTTCTCTTTTGTTTATTCCTTGAGGATAAATATTTAGTCTTGTTTTGTTTGTTTATTACACATTTATAGTTCCGACAGACGGTTGATTTTGTCGTTCATGTGCTTTTTAGTTATGTGCAATTTTTTTAAACTTTTGTTTATCTAATGAAGTATTATTTCATTCATTTCATTCATTCACCTCGCATTTTTTTCTGTTAATGCCTTTAACCTTTCAAATATCTTTCCGAATAAAGGGGCAACGGAAAGTTTGTTTTGCACGGCTGAGTGAATCCGCACAGATTTGTAATAATTTTGAGCATAGAGATTATCGATTTCTGACAGCGCGAAGTATCCAACTAATTTAACTAACTATTCACCAACCCCTCGGCATTAAATACGAAAAAATAATGTTTTATAATTCAAATAACAAATTTGAGTCAAAAATATAATTAACAACAAATGTTTTGTTATCAGGGTTGATTATTATGCAATGTTCCAAATTCACGGCGCTAAGGTTCAACATTTCTATAAGACAGGTGTGCATTGCGGGTTTAGCCTAAGTGGGTTTTGCTAGGCGTTTATACTCCTCGAGGGTTTAGATTTCACTCAAAGGCGTTTCATCTTGCCATCTTCGGTGAGAAATTTCTTAAAATTCTAAACCCGCGAGATAGTGAATAGACGTATCCTTCCTTCACATAATCCTCTGCTTTTCTTTTGGTTATTAAAAGATTATTATTCGAACTGCTGCTTCTTTGGATGCGGGACTACCATAGATGTGCTAACTACTCCTAGTACTTTCCTCTAACCTTGATCTTACAATTCCTTCCAAATGTCTGCAGAAATTAGTATAGCAGACTGGTGTAGATAATGGAAAATGAAGATCAATTAAAGCAAGCAGTCCAGCAGAAGATAAGAAAATCTCTCACAATCTATTGCAATAATGCTTCTTTCCTCAGAATCTTACTCCGTTATTTTTCTTGAATTCCACCAAGATTCGCGCTTAACATGGAATTAGGAAATGCAACTAAAACGACCTAATAAGAAAAGAAGTATACTCTATAAACTAAGAGTTGACAGTCCATAATGTCGCAGCAAACTTACGATCAGACTAGATCTGAGAGTGGCTACAATTCTCGCCCATTAGACAAACAATTATAGCGACAGATAATAATATCTGGATATAATTAGAACCCATGTGTCCGAAGTAACAGTAATCTCCAAATTCAACGAATTAGGGGACCAGGTCGCCAATGAAGCTACAAAACAGCAACGTCGAAGGACGTTGGAAAGATACTTGTCTCCTTTATATATAACATAACTCAATCACATAAATCAAAACTTTTTTGGAAAGATGGAGTTCTGAATGAATGAACATTTCTGAGTTATTACTCGAGACTTCAAGATAACACTCACAGGGCACGGGAAAACTGCTCGTACCTACGTTGATTGCTACATATCTATGCAGTGGGAAAGGTGCTTTGCAACCGTAATCAGAAAAGCACTTTTGAAGAGATTTTCATGGCTGGAGAAAGAAAAAAATTCTGATAGGCAAATGTGAGGACTTGTGCCATTTTATTTTTTCAAAACTTTACTAAAACCGATGTAGACGTCCGATGTAGAATTGTGAAAACTACTAAACTTTACAATACCTCAAGGTTCCAAATCCTATCAATTCGTAGTCGTCAATTGTATTAAAGTCCGCTAAGCACTATGTCTTCAAAACTACCCTCCCGGACGTTCCTAAAATCCCATTTATCCAAGCAGATACCTAGTTCCATTATCAACTCTTCCATCATCCCAATAGTCGTACCTATGCCCTGTCTAACCGATCCCATCCTAAAATGTTATAAGCTCAAGCGGAAATGGCCATCCGACTTAGTTTCTGAGTAGTAAGAATAATAATAAGAAGTAATATAATTCATTTGATACAGGAGAGTTTAACGTCCAGGTACAAGTTGGGTTCTACGAAAGAGGGGACTTTACAATACCTTTTACATATTATTTCCTAATTAAAATTTTACGTGCTATGCCGAGATTTTAACACAGATATGCTATCGTGGCAAATACGAGTTGAACGCGCTTATTACTCGGTCAAACCGTCCCATTATAATCAAGTACAATGAAAGTTATAAATATTGAAGTGCAATGAGTACATTATTTTCCTCCCCTCAA